CGAGGCTCAGACGTTTGAGCCGAGAGACTAGGGGCAGAAAGCGAGAGACTAAGGAGAGACAGACAGAAAGAGCGAAAGAAAGAGGGAGGGAGTAATCAAGGAGAATCAAGACGTTTCCTCTGCAGTACCCACAGGCCTCAGCTGAGCCCCAGCTCCACAATCCTCGCTGATTGAAGGGAAGGGTTTGTTTGAAGAGGAGGTCAAGACCATCAGTACCTTGTTAAGGGAAAGTCGTGTCCAGAGGAATGAAGAGGGCCGACTCCTTCCTGAGGAATTCATAGGGGGATAGATAGTGTGTATATGTGCGAGTTTGTCCTATGTGCAAGAGAAAGCACTGAGGTTTTTTTCAGTGTGTGTGTGAGAGAGAGAGAGAGAGAGAGAAGGCGCATGGCTTGCTTGCGCGCCTCCAATCATTAAAAAGAAGCTGCAGACAGGAGGAGGAATTAGACGGGGTTTTTTTTTTTTTTTTGATGGACCCATCGACCCCCTCCTCACATACTTTCTAAAGCCAGGATAGCTGCGCTGGCATTTGCTGCAATAATGCATGACAGATGTACATCAACCATGCTCTTACTCTATCTATCTTTTAGTCTGCGTTTCTCCCTCTATCCTTTGTTTTCAGCCCCGTCTCATCTGGACCCAATGTCCTGTTTTTTTTTGTTTTCGTTTTTTTTTTTCTGTGATGAGCATCAATGGATCAGTAGAATTAAGAAAAATAAATAAAATAAATCACCAAATGAAGATTGTGATCTTCATCAATACATGCTCCAGCCTGTTAATCTCTAACAGGCATGGTGGCCTTTGTGTCATCACGGTGACAATGCAACGACCTTCTACTCACAAAAAATAATATAAAATAAATGATTCATGAAACAGTGGAGAAAATAAATACGTAAATTAGAGCTGAAAATTCATTTTCTGAACTATTTGTTAACTAATTTAGTAACTGATTAATCGTGAACTGGAGAATACAGACACTAAAGAAGAACAATATACAGTCAGAGCAGTAATTATGCCAAAACTGTTGAAAATACGTATACTATAGATAAGTAATCGATTAAATATATTTATTACGAGTGATTCGAGCTCTTGTGATCCTGTTTCATCATAGAGTTGTGAGATTTGTCTGTTTTTACGTGATCGTTCCCACGTTTCCTCGTGACTCCCTCTTGGGCCAGCAGAGGGCAGCACATTCCCACAGAATGAGAGGATTGTGCTGCTCGTGTGTGAGGCACGCTGGAGTGGAAGCAGGAAGACCAGATCTGATCTCTGTCCCTTTCTTTGCGTACTTGACAGAAGTGAATAGTGCTGTGTCACTGTGCAGTTGCACTTTGCCCTTCCTTTCCTGCAGTAGAACAAATTTGATACGATTTCCTGGTGTAAATTAGACACAAATAGTCAACAAATTGAGAAGAAAGTACATGCACAACAAAAAAATAAAAAAACAAAACAGGAAACACTTGTTGGTTTGAAAAGTAGTTGAGAGAGTTGCATAAAACTGAGAGTGTGTCTGTTTTTGTTTGTGCCGACTCTCTTACTCCCTTATCTGTCCTTGAAATTGTGAACGTCAACACATTTCTATTGGGTTCGTTTTGCACTCGCATGCTTCCTCGATAATAATAAAGAGCACAGTTGCTGTGTCACTGTTGAACAACACCCCATCAGCTCATCAGTCACATTGTTGCATGTGTGTTTTGTTGTTGGCCTTATTCACGTGTTGTATTTCTCTCCTTGCTCTGTAAATCTGAAACCTGCCAAGTCAGCAAGATGTCTGACCGTTCAAGTCTGCCAGGCCCAGGAAAATATGCACCAAAGATATTTAGGAGGACACCGATACATTCCCTGCACCACACCTTCAGTTGTTTGGTGACTGCAGCCAGGCTGATTTGTGAGAGGTGGATCATAACTGAGGTGTTTATAGGAAAGCACCAGAGTTACTGTCAGGGAGCTGTCACAAGTTAAATCAACATGGAATAGTTACATATATAAACAACAAGAGAAGACCTTGTCCCACTACACGCCAAAGAACAGTCCAAACTGCGATAATGGTGGATCACTTCAGTAGGAACACACAGCCTTGTAAGCTGCATTAAAGAGGACACGATAAGATGAAAAGCTTTCTATCTCAACGCACAGATAAGTTACAACTTATCCTGCTATCTTATCTGGAAAGGATTTTATTTCTGTCTGCCTGCCTGACTCATATGGTGGGGCTCGGTGAGGAGGAAGATCCCGGGCTTTGTTAAAGGCGAAACCAATTAGCCGGTAAGTTTGTTCTGAGTAATAATGTGTGTTTCTATTTGTTCAGCTGTAATCCTTCTGAATATCATCAACATGCGTCTTTTTTCCCCACTTCCTCCACAAACAGCTGTTAAAAGGATGAGTTGCTGTGAGAAAGGACCAACTTGCGAAATTTAAATTCAGCTCGACATGCGTTGTTCTCTTCAGGATAAAACATTAAATAACGAAGCCTCTATGTGTTGACAATAAGTGGAGATATTTTTAATTTGCAGACAGGGCTCAGTTCAAAACAGTTTTATTTTTAGCATAATAAATGCTGAGCATCTCAGCTGATTACCGTTTTAGAATAGTTTTACTGGAAATCAGAGTACTTCTTATCACAAGTTAATATGCAGGGCAGGTACTTCTGTTTAAGAGTGTTTTAAAAGAGAACTATTTTTACAGATGATCATCTGAACTGGCAAAAAAACAACATTAGATTAGGAGATCCTCTTGGTTGTCTCTGGATTACATACATTTAACTTTAAAAACATCCTGATACTTTGGTGGGAAGTAAATATTTTCTGGTCTTATGATTGTTCGTGGGAGCAAAATCTGATTGAACCTGTATGTTTATTTTTTTTCCATTCTGAGACACGAAGCAAGACCCACTTCTAAAGTTGCACGACTATGCAGTTTGCCTGTACTGAAATTAGGCATTTACGAATTTAATGGTAAATGGACTAAACTTATCTAGTATTTTTCCAATCATGTCGACCATTCAGACACACATTTAACCGCTCATACACAGGTCAGTAGGTTTGGGGTTACGTTTCTTGCCCTGGGCCACATTGACATGAGGAAGCTGAACTCGAACTTACAACCTTCTGACCACAAGCCATCTCTACCCAGTTGCCTCAAATCGATAAATGTTCTAAATTGCGTTCAAATCACATTGCATTGACCAAACACGACTGCTAAATATTACAACAAATGCTTCATATCCACAAAATTTCACCCGTTGTGCTGAGGGTGAGATGAGAATAAGCGGGAGGGAGAGGAACGTGTGTCACGCGTGTTCAAAGCAAACATGAAGGAGCTGGTTAGCAATTGCAATACAAGTCTTCTGCAATAGACACCTTTTTTTTCCATTTTAGTTCATTTCAGTCTATTTCTGTAGCACAGTGTTACGACAAATATCATCTAGAGGCACTATATGAAAAATGTAGTCAAATTTATATGTAGAAATATGCAGTCAGCTCATCCCAATCATAAGAGATTAAAAGTCAGTTTTGATCAAATCCATTATTTTGCATAAAACCGCTCTCTAGTAGAACCAATGAAACATTACCTTGAACACAGTGTTTATACCATTAAGATCTTTGAGAGTGGAGCAAGGATTTGCTTTTTTACCAGAGCAATAACTCCAAAGAGCGACAATAAGCATGTTCATGTGTTAAAACGGACAAGTCAAAGTAAATCCAATTGGGAATTTATGGTGAGCCTTGAATGTTGTTCCTTCAAACCCGACTGATCTTGTGCAACTCAGGAAAAAGGATGAGCAAGATTTTTCTCAGCCTTAGGGAAAGTGCGTCTGGTGCTGAAAGCATTTAGTTTGTTACTTCTGCAACTCACAAAATTCCTACATTTCTTACTATGTCATGCAAGGTCATTCATACATTCATACAAGAAAATCACTCTGGAGAAGCGGCAATCAATGGGCCATTGCTGCTGTGCAGTTTACACAACAGTTCTTACTTCTTTCCTCCAAGAAGTATGTTAAGACATTTGAATGAGTTACCGCCGACAGCTTGAAAATCAACATTTCTATACAGATGAAGCTCAAAAAGTTGTTGAAGTAAACATCTTCACTGGCGCTTAAATAGTCCATCACAGTGACGATTAATTGCAACTGACTGTAAGTTCGTTGCAATAGAAAATTTAATGATGCCAAACAAAATATGTTCCCAGCTGCTAATAGTTTCTTCTTTTTTTTCTTTTTCTTGAGCCTTTTTGCAAACTCCTTTATGCACTATATCTAAGAAGATGCTCAAGCCTCGTCTGTAATTTGCATTTTGCAGGTCGGGTTTGTTTGAACCTAGGTGTCTGAATGTACAGCCAAACAATTTAGACTTGCCCTGGCAAGTTTCACTGGTACTTCAAAGTTTGTTATGTCCCCTTAAATCATTGATTAAATCCATCATTAAAAAAAAAAACTATGATTACACAGGAAGCACTATGTTTTTACTTTTTAAGCTTGATTCATCACTATCAACTATTCCTGTTTTCCCAATTTATGTGTTAACTATTCCACTTTTATCACGTTGCAACAAATTTCACTGCAGTTTATTGGACCATATTAGTGCGAAGCAACAGGGTGCGTTTAATTTACATGAGTATTGTAATGTTTGTAGTTATTCATCTTAATATTCTGTTGCATTTTATGTTTCCAAAAGAGTTCCCTGTCTGGAAAAGTAAGTCATGATGCATCACTGGAGGAGAATGAATATCTCAAACAGTCGTATCCAAAGCTTAATCTTCCTGTTTTGAATTTCCTGCTGGATAAAACGTGGGAAAATGAGTGTAATATGGACGTACCCTCCCCCCTTTGCGTGATCCGCTTTTGCCAGCCGTGGAGCTGTTACCAGTGGCCAAGTCTTCAGTGTGCGGAGTTCAGTTTCAGTTTGAGGGCCGCTGCCCCGCTCTGTTTACCTGCTGCTGGCTGTGAAAAGTTGCACAGTCATGGAGGTGTAGAAATGTCCTCCCGCCCTCTAACGCATCCCGTCGGCTGCTGCTGCTGCTGCTGCTGCTGCACTTTGAACTGAGCGCAGTTCTGCTATTTTGACGTAGCACGGGACGGACAGTTTCCTCCAAGGGAGAAAAAAGCGGGGGGACGGAAAGCTGCGACCTGCCTGCCACGGGAGAGCTGGTCCTTCGCTCGGACAGACACCCGGACCCTGCGTCGCGGTGACCGCGGACCGCCGCGCTCTGTTGTTGTGGCTTCATTTGACAGCTGGTGAGTTACGACAGCTGCTTCACGCGCCGCGTTGACGCTCGGGAGAAAACCAGAAATCAGTGTTGTACAACTGCTAGCGCTCGAGACACGACCCTTATCCCACACTGGATATTTAAAACCGTGTTAGTTTATGATTTTGTTCTCCTGAACGGCCGCAGAGTCCTAATAAAAAGAAAGTGAAACTTTTCACTCACTATTTGCAGTCACATAAGTGGCTCCGATAAATGAATGATTAGATAAATGATGTTGTTTAATTAGAAAACAATAGAGCAAACGCTCCATTATGACTTATGCCACTCCCACTAATTTTGAATTAATATCTTTCAGTTTTAATGTGTAGTCAGTGAAACTACTAGCATGTTAATTTTTTCTGCTTAGACAATGGCACAATGGCGCCCCTAGTGGAAACATGTGAAAGCCATATATATATATATATATATATATATATATATATATATATATATATATATATATATATATATATATATATATATATATATGTTTTTATGTATTTTTGTGAGCACAACTCCATCTAGTTGGGACGCAAACAGTGTCTCATAGTTGCTACGTTAACCTCAACATGTCACTCTTTTTAGGTGAGAGGCTTGGAGTTTTTGTTGTTGTTGTTGTTGTTGTCTTTTTGTTTTATCTTCCTCATCATCCTGCTCACTGTGGAGGATGACAGGATAAATGTTGCTCCTCATCCAGCCTGGTTGGTAATCGCTCGCTGACAGAAATGGGCCTGATTGATGACTGATTGGATACCTTAAATCTCAGATCAACTTTGAAAATGAATGTGTAGTCCTCAGCTAAGAAGCAACTTTAACCTAATTGCTGACTTCAAAAAAGTTTTCCACAGTGAATGGTCATTTGATGGGACTCTTTCTCTTCTAAAATAAATTAGGGCTTTAAAGTTATTTTTTGGAAGTCATTTAAAATCATCCACAACAATTGAAGATGGTAATATTTGAAGTTGATTCACCTGAAGCAGTCTTTGCAGTAAAATTAGACATATCAGCGCTCCAGTGGCCTGATCCATATACTAAATAGTATCTCAGGTGAGAGCATGATGGAAAAGCCTCAGGGCTGAAGTAACACATGAGATTAGCATTGTTTCTTTTGAAAAGAAGATATGTAAGTTAAATGACCAACAGGGAAAAATGTCTAGTCACTGCAACTCTGCAGTTTCTAAATGCATTTTGGGAGCACGGAGTTTCACTCCAGGAGCTTCCTTGTGCAAAGTCTTGCTGCTTGTCACGTTCCATGTGTTGCAGCAACTTCAGCTCAAAGCTGACGGCACAAGTTCGAGTCAGCTGATCGCTGTTCTGCTTGGTGCTGCCAGCACAACCAATCTGTAAATGGTTAACTCCTCTTCTCTGAGCTGCCATCGCTACGTGTTGAATTCTGTCCTGACTCACCGAACAAACAGTGATTAAAGCCAAAGGGTGTTTGAAAGTCTTTGTTTTGAATTTGTTTTTGTTCCATTTTTCACTGCTACTAATTTCAAGTGCATTTTTGATGCATTGAATCACTATAATCAGCTGACTGAGAAAGCTCTTTACACATATGGTCCTGAAATCACTGATTTGGTCATAATGATATTATAATGTTCTGACCTCTGCATGTTTTGCAACCTACACAAAGCAGGCAGCAGGGAGTGGTACATCCCTGCTGCCATTCACTCAGCTGTAGTACATGTGTATGCATGCTCCACATGTTCATATGACCTACAAAATGCTCAAGTAAGAGCAAAATCAAGTCTTTAATTTCAATAAAAACAAATAGCCCAAGTGAAATTTGGAGGTTACACAAAATTGATTATGCAACTGCTTCCGTTGTGTCCTTTGGCTTTGCTCAGTGAAACGTTCACTACGTGTGGAAATCTGTTGATATGTAAAATATTACTCAAAGGAATGTACCAATTTGTTAGTAACAGAAGGTTTTTTTCCTCCGCAAAAAAGTAACGTTCAGTATTTTTTTTCTGTTTCGAGCAGCAAAAGCGCGTTTGTGGTCGAGTTTTCCGGCTCGGTACAGCTGCCCGGTTTCCATATCATTCTGAATTAGATTTTGTACAATAAAAAAAGTGCATTTTAAAAAATGTGCTGCATGTTTATAGTTTTGAAGATTATCTTCATTTCTGCATCAAAGCATATGTCCCTCATCTTTATCTGAGGTGTATCAGTGTTTGGGCTGATTCATGTATTGAAAAATGCAGAAATTAGTTTCATTGTGTCTAATTTTTAAAAAAATCTATATTTTATTTACTTATTTTTCATTCAGAGATATACTAATTACAATTGTCCTTCTGATATGCCAATACTACTGAAGAAGTATAATACTATGTGTTCACTGGCCACATTATTTAAAACAATTTTTCAGTTCCATGGTAAGGCAAATAGCAAGTCCAGAAGCCAATCACATGGCAGTAACTCTATTCATTTTGGCATTTAGATGTGGGGACGATGACTTGCTGAATTAACACAAACAAAGCATCAGAAAGTAGATTTTTGAATGTGTCTTGTTGCTTGTTGTCAGATGGGTTTTGCAGAGTTTTTCAGAAGCTGCTGATTTGCTGGGATTTTCACTCAGAACCGTCTCTCAGGTTTCCAAAGAGCGGTGCAGAGTGTTGCAAGGTGATAACAGTGAAAGGTGTGCAGAAGTGGAATTTGGTCTAAACATAATGCAAGCATAGGCTGGTTCAGTCAGGTGGTGGTATAATTCAGGGTTTACTGCAGTGTATTCTAAGCCTGGCGGGCCACCAGGCTTTATTTGTGCCCCCACCAGGATAAGCATTGCTCATTTTTTTTTAATGTTTGCATTTTTTTAAGACCTTATAGTTGGTGTTCAGGTATTAATCTTCCAATCTGTTAATAACACATAATTATCAAGTGATATTTTCAAATTTCCTGTCAACTTTAAACCTTTTTTAATTTGAAAAGACGATGGGCTGCTGGATGACCACCGGGTTTAACAAGTTTTCTGGGGGAGACCTCGTAGTGGGATACGGATAGGGGATATTTTCTTGGCTCCGTTTTTTTGTTTGTTTTTTTCCTGTTTTGTGGCATCGCTCAGCCTAAAGAAGCTACAGGAAGCCGCCTCATTGTGGACTGACCCCCAGCTTCACAGTCCGGTATTAACGCCCCATAACATCATAGAAAAGGCAGATTGCTTTGAAAACATCTGCTGCATCTTCAGTAGCAGATGTTTCAAAAACAAGTTTCAACCCACAGCTTTCAACTTTCAGGAAGAGACAATTGACTTGTGTGTACTAAGGCTCCATTGACACTGACATATTTAGTATACAAGTCCAACTGGTCCAGTCAGCTCAGAGATGAGCTGGATGAGAACACCTGCTTGCTTTGCCTGCGTGGACTGGTTTCGCTTCATTTTTCCTACAGTCTCTTTTACATTCTGAGCAAGGATTTAGTAACGACACCGTGACCCTTTTTCTCCTTTGCCTCAAATGATTGGCCACTTTTTTGTGTTTATCATCGAGCTACTGTGTCGCGAAGGTTCAGGGGTCATTTCTTCGTGACTCACACTCTGTTAGCGCTTTACCGGCGGACAAAACGTTTTCAAGCTAACCTTGCGTACTCGTGCAATGTCAATCTAATCAAGCAGAGAAGCAAATCATTATGGTTGCAATAATTATTTTAACAGAATATTGGAATAGATAAGATTAGCTTGCCATGGTTGTCAAGAATTATAGCATTGTTGTGACGTCTAAGTACTTTATGACATTATAAAATGACTTTTAAATACCTGCGAACACAGAACTCTTCTAAGTTACGTAATTCAAGCCAGTCAAAACAGCAAGCGTCACCTCCAGCTGCGGGCTGGCATTTGGTATGACGAGCTTCTGTGAAAATACCACAAAAAATATGTATCATTGATAAATCTAAATAAAATAACACTGAACGGCGGGAACAGTAGTTTCGAGCGATATCGAAACTGCCGTTTTCTTAAAATTGTCACTGTATCAAAGTTTTTTTTTTTTATTGTGGCCAAGATTTAACAGGGTTGTTGAGTCAGGCCCAGTCCCACACCCCGATCCACAGTTGAGTGAGACAAAAGCAATAGTGAGAATTTTGATTTCACCTCACCAAGTGGTTTCAGGTCACAGTGTCGCACTTTCTGTGACGCTTTTATAGCACTTGAAGCAGTTTTCAGGAATGTGAGACTGTGGTTTGTGCGCTACTGTTGCACTGTGAATAAATAAAAGTATAAGCTCAAATAAATAATCATCACTATACTAGTCATTAGCTTTTGCTTGGTAGTGTTTTAGTTATTATAAATTATGAAAAAAAAAGTCTGAATTTCAATAGAAAATGACATTTTCATGAGGTGAAAATTAGAGCAGACGGCAGCAGCAGTTTTATGGTTTCAGCTAAAAGGAAGTGAAACTTCAAGCGCGTTACAAAAGTACATCCTTAAGAGATCTGAATCTCCTTGCTTGTTACTCATTCAGTTAACAGCATCTCTGTTCTCGTTCCTCTTCTCTTACAGGCTGAGCATCCAAAAGAGTGGTTGAAAGGAATCCCTGCTGAAGCCTCCTCTGATTGTGCTCTTCAAAGCAGATCCGAATCTTATCTGGAGCAGTAGATAACAGCAACGCCCTTAAAGGTCATAATGGATTACCGACGAGTCCCTGAAACCTGCAAAATCCAGACCAGGAAGAATCTGATCGCCATGGTTTGATTGGAGAGCTGTCTAAACACACACGCTGTCAGCCACGATGGAGATGAGATGCCTGGATAAGGACACATTGTGGGGTTCGACATGGTTTGCCTAAAAGACATGACCTGGACTTGCTGGGATTTCCTCTGAGCTGCTCGGACTGGGTTTTCATCCCGTTTACGTCCCTCATCTCTCAGGAAATCCAAACTTGACTGAAAAGATTTTTGTGTAAGGTTCTTTGCGAGATGGAGCACATGAGGAAACGTGCTCCTGTTCAACGCCTGACGCCAGTGACATAAGAAGAATTTAAACCGATAGAGACTGTATGACTCGGGCATCATCACAAAACACAAACCTTTAATCTGGAGTGTTTCTTCCACCGGCTCCAGCATGCATTGCCCTGTCAGGAAGAAACGTCCCACGCGTGACTCTGATTTCTCGGCTATCGTTGTTCCCTCCATGCACGGGTCTGGCTACCTCGATTACACTGTCGAGAACCACGCTTCCAGATCCTTTTTGGCCATTGATGAGTTTAGACGGCAAGAGATGCTGTGCGATCTGGTGTTACACGTCACGTACAAGGACCGGACGATGGACTTCAAGGTAAAGTCAATCCCAGATGAACAGCACTTTTAATATTTTCTCATTTTATTTTTCAGATTACAAACAGGTTAACACAAAGTGATGCATATTTTTTGAGGTGAAATCACTTATCAAACTCTTGAGTCTTGTAGTCTCGTAGTTATTCTGTACACCTGAGTCCTTGCTGTGTTAGGGGTACGCCTCTACCGGCTCTGCATGTCTAGAAACTCCAGATTGTCAATTATATGTAGGGATGACCTTTAACTGGGCCATTGTTGCACAAAATGATTAGATCGTTGACGTGTTTGCACTGTCTACTATATGGCTTGTTGCAACCACCAACCAGACTTTGCTTTACCTTTGACCTGTTGAATCTGTGTCATAAAATCCAAACTTGACTGAAAAGAATGTAAATTATCATGAGAAGGGGGAGATTAACTCTTGCAAGACAATGTAGTTAATCCAGGAGGTTTGGAATAATTTATGTACTTCTCATTGCAATTATCAAATTTATTTTTGGTGTTGTTTTTGTGCCTCGAGCTCGAGTCCTCCATTTATATCATTTATTAAAAATAGAAAAGTTTAAATATGATTTTTCTTCTTTAACTTACTGTTTACGCTTTTTTAAAATCTAATTATAATAAAAAAAATCTAAATCTGATCGATTGCATTTAGTCCCACCTTCACCTTACGCTTTATGCCAAGAACTAATCATTTTATTCTGTTTTTTTAAAGCAACGTATCCATCCCAGCTAGCTATAAGTTGAGTAATTATGAAAAAAAAGAAATCTGTCAAAACGTGTGGCTGAGTTGTCACAACATTGTGCGTTTGCGAATTTTATGTATTTTAATATTAAATGTTGACAAATGTTTACAATAAAAATGTCGTCTGAGTTAAACAGTGTATGTTATTAAACTTGATGTATTTATGGTTTTATTGTACCCTTGTTTAATTTAAATTTCTTGCGTGGTTATAAATTAATAACAGGATTTTGTTCCCTTTAAGATAATCTGAGGTACAAATCTTTTATTGTATTTTATTAATAATAACTACTTGTGTGTTTTCAGGTTCACAAAGTGGTGCTGGCCTCCTGCAGCGCCTTCTTCAGAGCCATGTTCACCAGAGGCTTCAAGGAGTGCAGTGCTTCGGAGGTCACCCTGCGCGACGTGTGCCCTGAGGTGGTGGGCAGACTCATCGACTTCGCCTACACGTCCCGCATCACGGTGGGAGAGAAATGTGTGCTGCATCTGCTTTTGGCCGCCATGAGGTAAACGCTTCCTAAACGGCAGCGCGGCTTCGAGGGAAAGGGGTGAATTCGAAGGTCGACTCTCTCCTCACGCTTTGCTTTTATCTCATTCCTGGGAAGATATCAGATGGAGGACGTGGCCAAGGCGTGTTGCGATTTCCTCACAAAGCACCTGGAGCCGGCCAACGTCATCGGGATCTCCCGCTTTGCCGAGGAGATCGGCTGCACGGAGCTGCACAAGACGTGCCGAAAGTACATCAACTCGCACTTCAGGGAGGTGAGGTGCTCAAACCGTTGAGTCGCTTCACGCGGTTTGCTTAAAACTTCACTCAGGTGAAACATATACCATGAAAAACAGCTGCATCTCCAGTGAATTTGGTCCAAACGCTGCACAAAGAAGGAGACCACTGAAAATATTGACGATATTGTTTCTAAAAGTAAATCTGAGTGGGTACACACAGCTACCAGGTTTAATGAACTCAAATTCTGTTCCACCTTACAATGATTTCATTTCAGTTGTTTGCTAACATGGTAGGTTAGTGGTACCATCTGGTTTTAAAAGTGCTCTTTTTCAGAAACTTAGCACGTTTCTTTTAGCATCTTCAAATGCAATGATTGGTATTTCAGCTGCTTTCTGTGCAGCTCTGCTACTTTGAGATCTGGTCTCAGATATCGTTACTCAGAACAAAGCTGAGGACATTGCTAAGATGGACTGAGAGCCAGCCAGTATGTTTTTTGTTTTGTTTTTTTAACAGTTATCATCATAGTAAAAATTTTAAAATGCTCACGTTCTGAAAATGAGCTTTTTACAAACTTTGAGCACAAAAATGGTTCTGAGTCTGACAGTATCCTCATCAACATGTATCACGAGTTTGCGATAGACCTTTGATCATGATCATTTAAGAAACGCTTTGATCAGGATATATGATCTACATTTTCATTCTAGTCTTTTACATGTCCTTTGCCTGAAGTAACTCATCCTTGAACTTTTCCTGGCTGCGCTTTCAGTTCCTCAATCAATTTCCGGTAATTTTTCACTTTCTTTTTCCTGTTCTCCACTGACTTCACATCGTCCCCCCACGCGTGTTGGAGCCCTGCTTTGTGGGTATCTATGCATAAACTGGTGCCATTTGAAACTCCTCAAAGCAAAATGCTGGTTATCAAAGAAGCTCACAGCAAAGTTGTCGGTTGCTGCATTTCACTTATGCAATATGAAATGTGTCACACAGCATGCTGACCTTGCACAATCTGATAAGTCAGCGAAAAGTTCAGCTGCAGTGTGTCATATCTAAAACCCGACCGATTGGTATCAGGGACAAACTACCAAACTTTGGCACATGCGTAATAATTTTGTTTTAGATTTGTGAATGCAGCAAAATTATTCAACATAAAACATGCTGAACGGTTTCTAAAGTAGCTGCTTTTGTCTTCCTAACTCCAGGTGACCAAAGTAGACGAGTTCTTCAGTTTGTCTCACTGCCAGCTGCTGGAGCTCATCAGTCAGGACAGCCTGAAGGTGCTCTGTGAGTCTGAGGTACAGCACTAGAAATAAATGGTTGCATCTATTTAGTTTCTTCCCACGACACCTATCTGCATGTTGCTTCCTAGATTGTTTTTTATTAAATGACGACACTGCTTTCACCCTTTTTCTCACCCATAATTTGCATGTTAAAATAATATCCTTACAGGTGTATAAGGCGTGCACAGACTGGGTGAGCTCGGACATGGAAGGCAGAGCCCAATACCTACATGCTCTGTTGAATGCTGTTCATATTTATGCGCTGCCTCCTAAGTTTCTAAAGGACCAGCTGCTGTCCTGCCCCATCCTCAGCAAGGTAAAGGCCGAAGCTCGGAAATCTAAATGAGATTTTCTGCTAGAAACCGCACATTCAAGCATTTAGATCTTTAATCAGTTTCAAACTATTTGTCTTTTTAAATTGTTGTTCATTTGTTTTATCTCCAGGCCAATTCCTGCAAGGACTTCCTGTCCAAAATATTCCAGGAAATGACGCTGATGAAAGTTCCTCCTGCACCCATTCGTGGAACCCAGCTCATCTATGTGGCCGGAGGGTACGCACTCCGTGCATCCTCAACAGCAACTTCATTGTTTTTCAGACCCTTGAATCTTTTTTTTTTTTGGTTTCATATTAATAGATGATGTTTGCCTCCAGAAAGAGCTTTAGTCTGCCACCCAGTGGATTATTCTAGGAAACACAGCCAAGCTTCTCAAAGAGGAGGCATTTTTCCTTTCCAACTTTTCTATTTGTAGGTTTCCATTCAGTAGCTGATAAATAAATATTTATTTTTTAGGACTTTCACTATATATGAAATCACATTCATCTGCTTGAATCTAACACAGTAACAATTACTCCTATGGTTGCTGGACATTAACCATCACAGTTAGAATAACAGTATAGTTATAACTAATTAATTTTCCAAAAATTATCTACGGAAAATTAAGTTTACGTAATTTTATCTTTGGAAAATTACGTATTGTTAGAGAAATATTTATACAAAGACTTAACCAAACATAAAATAAACACCAAGTAAACTTAACATGCATTTCCAATGCAGGAGACATTTTCTCAATAAAAATATTTTCAATTGGTTTGTAAAAACTTAAGGGTTTTGAAACTATGCCTCTTTGAAACATTAAAAATACCTTGATATTAGGAATCAGTAAATGTCTAAAGTCAACACAGATCAGAGTACGGACAAAAACTATGTTGATATTTAATATGTAGACATCTACACATAAAGATATAAACATCTTTATATGTGTATTTTATTAACTCTACCTCATTTTTCAGAAGGAAGTGAAGACGATTATTATCCCGAATTCATTTCAGTTCAATTTAAAATACCTCATTTATGCCAAAGAAAAATTAAATGTTGCCTAAATTAATATCATTTAAGTATCTTCAAAGAGTTGTTGTGAATGGCGATGCTGTGGCCAGGAGTTATTTCCTGTAGCAGTCTGTCTTGGAACGTATCCAGAGAGGCCTCTGACTGAAGACACTGCTGTTGTGCAATGGTTGGAAAGCCGTTCCTATCCATATCTGTTATGATAAATGAAAGAGATGGTCTGAACCAACTCCTGAAGGATTTGGAGTTGTAGTTTAGATATTGAATGGGCTTTTGAGATGCTAATCAGCTGCGCCCAGTTGTAAAAACCACACCTTGTTGCCACAGCTACGCATCAAAACAACTGTCCGAAAGTAAAAACGAACAAAATAGTGAAAAATACATAACAGAGCTTCTCCAATATGCTGCCACCATTACCATGCTAATCATGCTAATACTTATACATGAATAAAAACAGCCTTTTGTCACTCGGAGAACTTCCTCACTCTTTATGTCTTTTTTCTCTTCAGATACCGGCAGCATTCCCTGACCACCATGCAGGCGTACGATCCCAGGAGGAACATCTGGATGAAACTGGCCGACATGGGAACTCCATGCAGTGGCCTGGGAGCCTGTACGCTGTTTGGACTCATTTACGCTGTAGGTCAAATCGCTTACATTGTCGAGTTTCCTTTATAAATTGATCGAAAGAATGCATGGATAACTATGTGTTTTTTTTTTTTTTACTTTAAGTTTAGGTTGCTGTACCAGAAATGAGATGAGTTTCATTATTATTTTGTGATATCCAGGTGGGAGGCAGGAACCTGTCACTTCAGACCAACTCAGACTCCAGCTCTCTGTGCTGCTACAACCCAATGACCAACCAGTGGAGCCAGCGAGCCTCTCTCAACATCCCCAGGAACCGGGTCGGCGTGGCTGTGGTGGACGGCTGCATCTACGCCGTGGGCGGCTCCCAGGGCTCCGTGCATCACAACACAGTGGAGAGGTGAGACTCTATATGTTATTTCTGACTTTCCAGAAATAATTCATAATAGATGACAGGCTGAATGGTCTTGAGAGTTTCATTCCTTTCCACTGAGCCTCCCTGTGGGTATTTCTCAGTGAAATCTGCAGAAGTGGCAAAGCAGATCACTGCTTGTAGCCAAAGCAGACAAAACATGTTGGGGCAAACCTTTCTGGAATGTCAGTCTTGATGGGAATGCTTTGCATCTTCATGTTATCTGAAGTAGCTGCATCGACGTCATTCTGCAACAAAGAAATGATTTTCTTTCCGTTTTGGCCTTTTTCAAAAAAAAAAAAGAATGGATTTCTTCTAAGAGGAGAATCAATAGCACTCATCAGCACCGGCCTCATGAGGAGAAGATAAATTTTATAAATGCTTTTCAAAAGCATTTATAAAATTTTTATTGAGATTTTAGTGATGTAAAGAATAAATGTTAAGCTTGTTATTAATGTTAGTTGGGGGGGAAAAAAACAAGGCAAGAAATTAGTGGAACAACCTAATGCCTCGGCGTTAATGAGGCTAAACTGAGATGCGGAGATGATGTCATTACATGCTTACTCTGCTGCTGATAAAATACCACGAGTACAGAGGACGGATTAACTGGTCAAAGGTTTAAAGCAAATAAAATTCTCAAGGACGCCCGGTCAAGGTGACTGCTGCGCAGATCAATTTGTAACTCCAAATCAAAGAATAAAATGCATGGCACAAAAAAACTGTGAACCAAACTGTTTACTTTTTTCTGTCTTATATATATTTTTTTATTGATGAAAATCTGTTTGCAAGACATCATCAGTCTCGAAAGCAACCACAACAGCAGTGAGAATGAAATCTGAGAAGATGTGACGTCATTTCCTGTCATATTGGGCAGAGACACTTGCTGCACTCTGATTTGATTTACTGTACAGCGAATGACTATCTAAGTCTGCGGGACTTTGTCTGTTTCCTTCCTCCTGACTTTACGGTTCTGCATCAAAGTCGTCTCTGGGTTTGGTTATCTTGTTCGTCTGAAACGCATGAACGTAAAGTGACATTTAGCGCAGCAACAGTTAGCTTCTAAACGAGCATTTTAACTTTCTTGATGTACTGAATTTGCAAAATAGTACCAACTAATTGGCTTTATACAGGTGCATCTTGTCAAACTGGAGAGCATTTAGACTTTCTCCACATTTCTTTGATTTCTGCTGCTTGTTCTGCTTTTTTTGTTGTTGTTTTTGTTTTTTTCCCTTCCTCTTCCTCTCAGCTTTCCACCAATGGAAATTTAAATGTGCTGTTCCTGCATGATTGTCTGCTGCTGCTGCTGCTGCTGCTGCTGCTGTTCCTGCTTGGTTCTCTTTAGCTTTGCTCTGACCTCAAACCCCATCAGCTCCCTCCATCCCCCAGACTCAAAGGTCAGAGGCTCCTTCCTTCCTCACACGCTCAAAGAACAGAGACGCATCAATCACTCCCTGACGTGTCGAACAGTACGGACACGGAGCGATGGGATTGGAGCTTGGACGCTAAAATCAAACTCACACTATGTTGGCTAATAGAGACATATTTCAGCATTTACGCCTGACTCGTCTGACCCAAATGAAGGTAACGGACACCTGTTACCTCTAAAGCCGTGTCAGTGCTGAGCATTTTAAGCGTTCGTTCCACATTACGGAGAAGTTTTCGGGGCCGCTGACAGATGTCTCAAATTGAAACCAAGTTTGTTGGCGCTCGCTGAGCTTCCCCTCCTTCTTGACTCTTTAAAGATTCACGTTTGTTTTACTTTGTGCAAGTGCAGCTCGGTGGGTGTTATGTATAATTCATTCAAGAAACGAGTTTCTGAAGAAAGTCCCCGGGGGGCAAAGATAGAGAGAGAGAAAAAAAGAATCCAACGCATGCAATTAAAATAATGAGGTTTACAGAGAAAAGATTTGACACGTTGCAAAAATACAATAAATTCAAAGTAAATTAATCTTAAGAACAAATTTTAATTTGCTTGTAATTTCAACCTGTGTATCCAGTCATGGAGATCTTTAACCTGATTTTCCGCTCGGCCCCCATGCCTGACATTCTCGAGCTTTGCAAATTAAACTTTTTTAGGAATTCTTAGATATGCAGAAGTGTGTATTTATAGTCGGTTCAACAAGTCATTTTTTTGTGCAAAATCTTGGGAGTCGTCTTGAGCCGGTAACTTTTAAAGTGTCTCCAGGTCAACATGTTTGCCTCCAGCCTCCCTCCTCTGCTGTTTCAACATCTTTGGCTTCGCTATAAAGCTTGTTAATATTTGCCGAGCACGGTTGCAGGCTTAACCTAATCCACTCAAAGTTGACTGGCTCTCGCAGACCAAGGAGGTCATTGCACTCGGCCGCGCCTCCCTCTGCATTCGTTTGAAGTCTGCAGAAGTGCTGCGGTGATTTATTGGAACTTCATCTACCTTTAAAGTAAAGTCATTAAAGGTAGATAAAGGGTGATCGGCCGACTGACTGACCGCCATTTGCTCCCTGCAGGTGGGATCCAGAATGTAACCGCTGGTCTTTTGTGTGTCCGATGTCCGTGGCTCGACTCGGAGCGGGCGTGGCGGCCTGCGGGGGGGCTCTGTACGTGGTGGGGGGGGGGGCGGGGCCACCCGGCCTCTATGACTCGAACACCTGGCACCCTCTAGCTCCAATGAACACGAGACGCAGCGGACTGGGTGAGCTGGATTTGACCACGCTTACGTTCATCTCAGAAGTATATTTCTAAAAACATAAACATTGACAACCTCCAACTGATTTTGCTTCTACTTTTTTTGCAGGATTGGTTAGCATGAACTCTTACCTGTACGCCATAGGAGGCTATGATGGGCAGAACCAGCTGTGCACAGTGGAACGCTACAACACCACCAGGAACATCTGGGAGCCCAGGGCCTCCATGAATCACTGCCGCAGCGCGCTGGGAGTCACAGCCCACCAGGGACGCATCTACGTCTTCGGTCAGTCTCAGCGCTGATGTCGGTTGCATAACACACAAGTCAGAAAACGTACGAGCGTACTTTAACCGGTTCTCATCGGGATTTTATTTGATAAACGAACACAAAGTTACGCCCCAGACGTTTCAGCAGAGTTCAGCTCCGTCTGAAATGCAGGTTCCAAACAAACACGATGGATAAAGCATCTGCTTCACTGTCAGATGATTCAGTTCGTCAAAGTTTTTTCCAATTGTCTGAACTGATGTAAAAATGTGGAGGAATTCAAGTTAAACGACAGCAAAGGTGGCGCTTTGATGGCGTGCAGCGTCTGCAGCCTGCAGGCGTGATGAGCAGTTGGAGACAAAACATTTACTGATGAGATGTAAAGGACAAAAAGTGTGAAAATCTTCTCAAGTTGCTAAATGCAACTTGAGAAATGTCTGCCTGCCACATTCCTCCTCAACAGCTGTTTATGGAAATGACGTTTTTGCAGTTTATGCATAAATGTGCAAGTCCATAATTGAAATATGTTCTAAATACATCCAAATTAAGGCAAACAGACACATAACAGCACTTTCATTGATTGGATGTTGTCTCCATTTTTATAAGTTAAGAAAGTGATGCAGTAGAAACAAATTATTTTTCCATAAAACAGCAATCAAGTCTGCATTTATATTTGTCAGTTGTCATATTTGGCCTTTTCTACTGGTAAATACATAAATTGGAATAAGAATTTCATTTTAATTATATCTTGATGACAAGCTATAGAAGTGGTAAATCAGGTAAATGGTTTGATTAAGGCGTATTGAAATTGGAGACTCCAGTACAACCATTTACTCTGAGCTAATTAGTAACGTTTGTTACTAATTAGCTCAGAAGGTGCAAAAGAAACTTTTTTTTTTTACCTACATGCAACATTCTTTGGATGTGCAGATAGATTAGATTAAAGCACGTTCATGTCTTAGAGTGGCCTAGTCAAAGTCCACACCATTAGGAATCTGTGGTAATGCTTTATCGTTGACACACTACTGGTCTACCACCAAAGAGCCTTATAAAATACTTTGGAGTTTGTGATCTAATGGACAAAACGTGAAGCCGAATGAAATTGTTTTAATGGCCGTCATTCTGATGTTATGCCCAGGTCATAAAATCTCTCTGTGTTTATGTGTTTCCAGTAGGCTTCTTCTGGTTTAATTTGAAGCTTGAGCAGAACAATAATACAATAAACTAATTGGGTCATTCTGATTGTTTAGCACGCAGGTCGATAAGTAGGCGACGCTTTGTTTTTACACAGAAGGATGGACTCTGCTTTAGCTTTGACTTTAACATTAATAGGTATTAACAGTGAAAACATGCACTATGGACATTGAGTTCCCATACGTAACGTCTATGTTTGCTAATCCTGAAATGGGCTAATAAACTGGATAAGGTCCAAATGACTTTAAGCTGATTCCTTCTTCAACGCTGCTCTGTTTCAGGGGGGTTTAACCAGCACGGCTTCCTGTGCAGCGTCGAGCGCTACTGTCCGGACCAAAACGAGTGGGCGCTCGTCACCGACATGCCCGCTGGACTCAGCGGCATGGGCGTCACCGTCACCATGGAGCCCTGCCCCGGCGCCCTGCCCGACCAAGAGGACGAGGATGAATCCATGTAGGCCAAAGGACGAAGAGGTGTTGTAATTAAAAGGCAAAAACGGGCAAAGAGGGTTCGTGAAATCAAAAGGCGTTCCAAAATCTGTGCAAAAAGAAAAACTTTTTTTTTATGTCGCCTCCTTCATGGATTTCGCAGAGAATGCATCGCAGGAGTTTAATTGCCCTCCTTGATGTGGGCCGAAGGGTAGTCACTGTTTCAAGCACAATCACGCACAAAAAAAGAAACTACCTGACTGAAAGGAAAGTTTATTGAGACTTTTTCTTTAAAAAAAAGGAAAAGACAGATAAGGCTTTATTTGGCCTTGGTGAAGGACTCTCATGTTGTTATTGACCCTTTCTTTGTCCCCTTCAGGTTGTCAGAACAGTATTAAATTTCTAAAAAGTCCATTTAAATCAATTTGATTGTTTTTACTTCTACTTTTTTCTGTCTTTTCTGTTAGCACCTTTGACAGTGATTCTCAAAGGTTCACCCCCAGTTCAACATCAATGTGTTTAGACTTGCACCAGTGAGACCACGATGAATACGTTTCTCATAATTTTCACTTTTAAGTTAATCTATATCCTTTACTATTTACTATTTTTAAAAATCAATGTGCTGTGTAGCAAATATTATAGTTATTTTCCAGCAGCTGCATGGAGTAATCACTACCTGGGATCTACGTTTTTAATGATCCCAATGCAAACAAACGTTGACCCTGTTTACCAATCTCTGATATGCAATAAACCTCATTGCATATCAATTATCGACATGTTGGGTCATTGCCATCGTAGCATACATTCTCCTTAGCTGATGCCGCCACATAGTGACATTATTCTGATTCTACTTATTTTGTTTCCAGTTCAGTTTTGCTATACAAATGTAAATATTCATCATGGTCTCATTTCTTGGTATTTTACTGGGTTTTGTAAAGTTTTGAGAGCCACTGTTTCCTGTTCAGAAGAAGCACTTTAAAAAAAATGTTTTGCTGTTAATTCAGTCCCCTGGTTTTTGTGTACCAATATTCCTGTGTAATCATTTCTTTTTTATTGTTGTTGACTGTGGCGATAAATGTAAGTGTATAAGTTAATTATAAACATATCTCTGTCAGTGTTCATGTAATAATCTTGTGTTTCTTGAGCAAACCGCGCGGTTTCAATAGATTCTGCAGCAGCCTTCCTGTCACCACTAGATGGCGGAATAGGGCTAAGAATCGAGACGGAAGGAGGCCTACATGTGTTCACGTCCTGACAAAACAATCAGACTGAAATATGTTAACAATGCAACGCGGGCATGATGAGCTGGGACGCGTTCGGCTCGTGTTTTATTCATGCCCGCAGCGACCGAGACCCTCCGAGAAGCTTCCCGTTCTCGCAGGTCCCGACGCAAAGACAACGGGCCACTGGACTTGCGAACGGAGTTAGTCATCAGACACAGACGTCACGCGGTGCGTTTGAGTCCTCCTCTTCCGCGCTGCTGCTCTCCGTCTCCTCCATGCCTCCTCCATGCCTCACCTGCAGGACGTCAGATAGGAAGGTCCTGTTCTGGCCTCGGCCACCTCGCCAGGTGTGCGAGATGAACAGATGAGAGGGAAATGTTTCACTCGTCGTCTGGGGTAATAAGTTGGGACGTGGTGACCTGTCCAGTTCCGAGTGCGTCTGCGTGCGGCGCTGACGGTGCAACCTGTTGGGCGATGAGCCTGGAGGAAGAGGAGGAAGAGGAGGAGTAGGGGGGGCCGATCCGCGAGCGGGGCCCCGGAGGGCGCGTGCAGAGACGATGGAGAAAGTAAAGGGCTCTTACTCACCACTTGCAGTCCTACATAAGAACGAGTGACTCACATGGCGAACGCATGACGCAGGCATCTCGTACACATTTGCACTTGGTTACACAAATACAGGCGCAAACACATTTGTTCTTTATCTCTGTGTGTGTGCATGCGTGCGCGCACTGGTGCAAAAACAAAGCTGCTTGTCTCTTATTCACAGGCTGTGGAGACAGATTTGACTCAATGTGTTCATTGTCTCACGAGGGGAGGGGAATAAAGACGGGAGATGTCGCACTGTACGGCAGGGAGATTTCGCCTTTTTGCCGAGAGTCACTGGAGAAACATCGGTGCGCACGCAGACGCGGCTGTCGTACATCTTTCGCGTGTTCGCCGAACAGTTGCACAACCCCAAGAGAGGATCCGACGCTCCCACACACAAGATGCAGTGACTGATATTCATTGCGAGGAGCTGCTTAGCCCATTTATTACTGAGGCCAAAGTCATGGTTGAGTTGAGTTGCTGAAAGAAAATCAAACGGGGTAGAAGGTGCTCTTGTCAAGTAGGACCAACACCACGATGAAACATGGGTGGTGGCAGCATCATGCTGTGGGAAGATGAGGCCAGAGCTAATTGTGGGCAGTCTGGTCCAGTTAAAGTCCGGACCTAAGTCAACGCAACGTGACAATATATGTATATTCATCGTCCAGCAAGGCAACGACCCAAATCATGCACCCAGAGATGCAATGGCATGGTTTAGGTCAAGGGAGAATCTGATGTCTAAATGGCCCAGTCAAAGTCCTTGTCCTAACTCCAACTCTTTGGCAAGACTTAAACATTGACTCTCACCGATGCTCCCCGTGGAATTGAACTCAGTCTGAGCTATTTGGCAAAAAAGAATGCAGAAGAATTTCCGCCTCTAGATGCGAAAAGCCAGTGGAGACCGACCCTGAAGTCATGCAGCTGGAACCTCATGAGGCTCACATCAGCCCTTAAAAGCATCATTTTAGACTGAAATTCACAAAACACTTTTAGATTGTTTTTTTTTAATGGTTTTTCGAACGCATAAACTCTCAATAAAACACAATCAGCTGTGTTTTAGCTGTACTGAGACAAGATGCGAAAAGGCCCGTTTTTTTGTTTGTTTTTTTTAATCTGGTGTGTCGCTTGACCATTAAAACAGATGAAACTAAACTCACAATCTGGTTCAGGTCATCGGATCTTGGCTCTTAGCATGTGGAAAAACCGAGAAGGGTCTTTAAAATCTATCACTGACATATAACGTAATGACACTGGTAGATTTACTAAGTGTTACAATGAGCTTTATTCTGTTGGATGTGGTATGTTTGGTCTCATTTAGATCTGGGTTGAATTGAGGCTCTCCAGAACCTGAAGAGGTGTGTGTGTGTGTGTGTGTGTGTGTGTGTAAGAGTGGGGGGACGGGGTGGGCCCTTAGGTACACGTGTGTAAGTGTGACCTTGGGAAGTGATGACCTCATCAACATCCCTGCCTGCAAAGCTAATCTGTTTCATTCTGAAGGATGCTCTCGCAATGGAGCCACTCATGAAGGTGACATTGGTGAGTGGGGCTGCTGGTGGCGTGGATACACACCCCTCTCTCTTTCTCTCTCGCTCTCTGGGCCGCACACACAAGCACGTTGAAATACGGATCACAGGCACGGCGCAGGCAAGTAGGCGAGTGTGCTGCAAATGGGATAGGAATCGTGGAGGAAAATAGTAATAGCGTACGCTCACGTTAACAAACCACTGCAACTGCGAAATAAATCCCCTCAGTTTGCGTCTGCTCAGGGCCAGAAGCCCCGCCGCCGCGCGACGCTGGAGAACAGATCAAAATGCTGCAGATTTCTGCTCTCAGGGCAACCCGGTTGTTTGTGTTTTTGTGCATAAGTTTGGACTCAACAAACATTTCTGCATCTATGTGCAATTCAGTAGCTAATCTTCGGCAAGCCCCCAGATTAAAAAAATAAATAAAAAAATTAAAAAAAAAACAGCACCCAGCAGGTGTAAATGAAAATAAAGCTTGAGAGATTTTCTAACCTCAGGGCTGAGTTCCTGTACTGGAGGAACTTTGACACCACTTTTTTTTTTTTTTTTTCCTGATAGTGTCATCTTACACTGCATGCATCTTCACCCTCTTCACTCTAAACACATGCCCTTAAGCAAGGCACCTTTTTGCTGATATGGTGGAGCTGATGGGTAAAGAGATATGAGACAGCAAAGCTGATTGCATGCGAGCGAGACGCAGAGCGTTCTCATGGAGGGGATCAATGCGTAAGGCTGACGAGGCTGAGGTTTGTTTTTTTAGTCCTTACCAAAATGCTGCAACGTAACATAAAAATATTCAAGATTCGTCGGCTGAAATTTTAATTGTACCATTGCAGTTTGCAGAAAGCAAGATGAACACATCACTTATTGATGGGAAACTTTGGATTTCTTCAAGTATTTCTAAAGGAAAACTGCAGGACTCATTCCTAATACATAATAGTACATAATAGTACATAATAGTTACTATTTACTTACCAATTATTTATTGGGAGGGGGGGAGAGTAACCCTTTGGCAAATAATAGCTTGTTTACAAAATCATTAGTGCCAAATGTGTCCCTGGCTTTAGCATTTCCTTTCATCTGTACTTTCCTTTTTAAATTGTTTGGAGTATCCATCATTTTTTTGTTTAGTAGTCCATGACGTTTTGTTTCGAATGTATGGTGGAATAGGCACTGGCTTGATGAGGACCCACATTTATCACGCTAAAAATTAGAGGACTGTTGGAAAGAATGCCATCTTGTGGTCACCGACTTTCCATAACAGACATTAGGAGTTACGTACATGCCTAATGGCTGTTCGGGAGGAGTGAGAGAAAAATGCCTTCTTTTACTGTCCTGTCAAAACAGAAACATGCCAGACGGGATTGGTATTGAGTTTTCTGGGATATGAATATGTGGAAGCACCTCCAGCTCGCGGTTAAGTACGGTGGAGGGTCTGTATTACTGTGGGCTCATTTCTCCTCTATAGGCCCTGGGAGGGTCGTGGAGGGCACCCCAATGTAAAATAATTCAAAAATAAAAAACCTGAGAGATTTGTCAGAAAACTGAAAACTGTGTAGTCACTGGGACTTTCATCAGGATAATGATCCCTAACTAGATTGGCACAGAATGGTTCGCAAAACATAAAGTGAACCAACATCAGTGGTAGTAGGTTCATGCCACAGGCCTCCTACAGGAAGCTTTTGTGGTAAACCGGAGGGAAGAAAGTGTGGCGACACCGACCCATGGCTCTAGATCAGGGTTCTCAAACTCCAGTCCAATCAAATTGCTGAATTACATCGTAATCATGGCGTCACATTCTTAAAAACGGCCTAAATAAAAAAACACATCTCTTTAAATCTGTTTACATGTTCTATATATATATATAAACTGGTGATAGTTTCCTGGTTTCGTATGTTGTCGTTAACTTGTTTCTACATTGTCCCACACTTTAGAACTTTTAATATGTGTTATTATACATGTATAATGTTATAAATAATGTAGATCCCAAATGTAAAAGCCATATTGGAAACTTGAGGAGTGAGTCAAAGAGAAGAGGCTGTAACAGGACGCAAGGATCTCAATGATGTTGGGAGACTGCATGGCAAAGCACCTCATGCCCATTGTTAAGTACGGTGAGCAATCTGCAACGCCATGTGTTTCTCCTTCAAAGAGCATGGGAACCAAGTCAGAGTGCATGACACTCTTAATTTGGCTGTCACTCAGTCTTCTGCCAGGGTAAAGATCTAACATATACTGCCTTAGCAGCACAAAAATGGTTCACCAAATCCAAAATCGGCTTTCTTCCCAGGCTGAACGAGTCCCAGACCTAAGTCCAGTTGAAAACCCTCGGAGAAGAAATAAAGAGAAGAGCAGAAGAGAAGGTCTTTTTACGTCATGAAAAGACCCAAGTCCTCAAGGGCCACTGTCCTGCAGTGTTTAGATGTGCCACAGGTACAAAACGCTGGAATGAAATGGCTTAATTACCTCCTCCTTGTGTAGATCAGTTCTCCATAGCCTTGCCAATGACCTAATTATTCTATTCAGGTGTGGTGTATCAGAGATGCATCTAAAAGCTGCAGGACGCCGGCCCTCCAGGACTGGAGTCTGACACCCCTGCTTTGATGATATAAGGATGTGCGTGACAATGCAACTCACAGCTCATTGTTAAGTACATTGGAGGATCTGTGATGCTGGGGGCTTGTTTCCCTTTCAAAGAGCCCGGAAACCTTGCAAGAGTGCATGAAATGATGAGCTTTTTGAAAGAAGGACATTTCAAGTAAATATAAATCATAAACGTAAACTGTGGTGACATGTTGTTTTGAGAGGATA